AAAAGAAGAAAAAAGAGACGAAGTTGGCGTCTTGGAAAATTACATCCTAGATGAAGTTGCAACTTAGAAAAAAAAAAGACAAAGTTGGTGTCTTCGAAAATTACATCCTAGATGAAGTTGCATTTCAGAAAAGAAAAGACGAAGTTAGCATCTTGGAAAATTACATCCTAGATGAAGTTACATCTCAAGAAGAAGAAGAGATGAAGTTTGCATCTTAAAAGAAAAAAAAAAGATGAAGTTGGTGTCTTGGAAAATTATGTCCTAGATGAAGTTGCATCTCAAGAAAAAGAAGAGATGAAGTTGCATCTTAGAAAAGAAAAGACGAAGTTGTGTCTTAAAAAATCACATCCTAGATGAAGTTGCATCTTAGGAAGAAGAAGAGATGAAGTGGCATCTCAAAAAAAAAAAAAGAAAAAAGAAAATACAAAGTTGGCGTCTTGGAAAATTACATCCTAGATGAAGTTGCATCTCAAGAAGAAGAAGAGACGAAGTTACCAAGGTTTTTAAAATCAGATCGGACCGGTCGGTTGAACCGGTTGGATCGGTATTCGGTAATGAAAATGGTTCGGTTTACACAAAAAACCATTTGATGTTAAAACCGGTCAAAATCGGTCAAAAACCGATCAAAATCGATGGAACCGATAGAACCAGAAAAACCACCAGTTCAATTTCTCATGCAATCTTCTTTTTATTTTTTCCAATTTCACCCTCACCATTTCTTTCTTATATCGATTTTAACCCTTAATTTTAATAAAATTACAAAATTCCTGCCCTTCTCATCAGATTTCCCTTGTTGTTTGGATCGATCGGTTCACCGGTTGAATCGATTGAACCGAGCAAACCAAAAATCGAACCCAAAAATGGTTCAATGATCGGTTCGGTTTTAAAAACCTTGGAAGTTACACCTCAGAAAAGAAAAGATTAAGTTGCGTTTTAGAAAATCACATCCTAGATGAAGTTGCATCTCAGGAAGAAGAAGAGATGAAGTTTGCATCTTATAAAAGAAAAGACGAAGTTTGCGTCTTGAAATATCACATCCTAGATGAAGTTGCGTCTCAGGAGGACGAAAAGATGAAGTTGCATCTCATTAAAGAAAAGGCGAAGTTGCATCTTAGAAAATCACATCCTAGATGAAGTTGTGTCTTAGGAAGAAAAAGAGATGAAGTTGCATCTCAGAAAATAAAAGACGAAGTTACGTCTTAGAAAATTACATCCTAGATGAAGTTGCATCTCAGGAAAAAAAAAGAGAGATGAAGTTTACATCTTAGAAAAGAGAAGACGAAGTTGGCGTCTTGGAAAATTAAATCCTAGATGAAGATTGCATCTCAAGAAGAAGAAGAGATGAAGTTTGCATCTCAGAAAAGAGAAGACAAAGTTTGCATCTTGGAAAAATCACATCCTAGATGAAGATTGCATCTTAGGAAGAAGAGGAGATGAAGTTTGCATCTCAAAAAAGAAAAGACAAAGTTTGCGTCTTGAAAATTGCATCCGAGATGAGGATGGCGTCTCAGGAAAAAGAAGAGATGAAGCTTGCATCTCGAAAAAGAAAAGATGAAGTTTGCGTCTTGGAAAACTACATCCAAAGTGACAATTGCATCCCAAAAAAAAAAAAAAGTCAAAGTTTGGGTCTTGGAAAATCATATCCTAGATGAAGATTACATCTCAAGAAGAAGAGATGAAGTTTGCATCTCAGAAAAGAGAAGACGAAGTTTATGTCTTGGAAAACCACATCCTAGATGAAGATTGCATCTCATGAAGAAAAAGAGATGAAGTTTGAAGTCTGCATCTTGGAAAACCACAGCCTAAATCATATCTCAAGAGATGCAAAAGAAATTGGGTTATTCTTACACATGCTTAAAATTGGGTTATTCTTTTATTCTTTACTTTTCTTTCTTTTGCAAAAGAAAAGCAAAGAGGGGACAATTGTTATAATCCAATTTTTATTAGGGGCTAAAAATGATAAAGTCAAAAGTCAATGGACTAATGTTATAAAGGTTGGAAACTTGAAGGGTTGAGAGGAGCAAATGGCAAAATGACGTAGTTTTGCCAATGGGCCAAAAATAAAAATAAAGGGCTAGGGTTTCAGTTGAACCCTAGCCCCTATTTTTTCTTGTCATACCTCCTTTCTCAAATTTCCTTTTTCATCAACTTTAGTTTGGGTGAATCACAACACCAAGGGAGGTTTCTTCGAAAGCCATGCTTAGCCAATTAAAGGATTTGGATAAAACCTACAAATCGTATGTCGTCAACTACAAGGAGTCCGAAATTGATTTAAGGTGGGAGTCTTAATGCCTAAAAGGTATGAATCTAGACTTGAAAATGGGTAAATCGGTGAAGAACTAAGAATTCCCATTCCAAATAAGATTGGGTTGTTATTTTAGGGATTTAAATTAAGACTTAGAATTAGAAAAGGATTTGAGTCTCTCCATTTCTATATAAAAAGGGGCCTTTAGCTTTAGAAGGAGCATTAAAAAAATTGAGGGTGAGAGGAAAAAAAGGGAGAGATCGAGAGGGAGAAAGAGAGAAGAAATCCAAGAGGTTGAGAGATTGAGAGGGAGAAAGTGAGCAGAAAATTCGAAAAAAGAATAGAGGAAAGTGCAAAAAAAAAAGAAAAAAAAAAAGAAAAAGAAAAT